TGCTCAGAAAATGTTTTATTCATTCTTTTTAAGATTTTTATTGAGGTTAAAATATACATAATATGAAGTTGACCGTTTTAACCATTTTTAAGTGGATGGCCCAGTGGCATTAAATACTTTCACATTGTTGTGCTACCGTCACCACTGTCCATTCACAGAACTTTGTTCATCTTGCAAAAATCTGAAGCTCTGTCCCCTTTAAACATTCGCTGCCAATTCTCCACCCCGCCCGCAGCCCCTGGCCCCCATCATCCTACTCTCTGTCTCTGAATCTGACCCCTCCAGGTAACTCACATAAGCAGAATCATACAGCACCTGTCCTTCTGGGTCTGGCTCAATTTCGAGAGGCACAATGTCCTCAGGGTTCATCCACGTTGGAGCCTATGTCAGGATCTCCTTCCTTCTGAGGACCGAATACTATTCCATTGCTATGTGTATGCTACGTTTTGTTTATCCACTCATCCAGCAGCGGGCACGCAGGTTGTAAATCCCACCTTTTGGCTATTGTGAATAATGCTGCTATAAACATGGGTGTACAAACATCAAGTGCCTGCTTTCAGTTCTTTTGGGTACAGACCTAGAAGTGGATTCGCCCATTTCTGATATTGCCTTCTGTGAACTTAGGAGGAGAACTGCTTCCAACTTTCAAATAAAAACAATGACCACTCTGTGCTGGGACCCCTAGAGCTACCCGCGCTTGCTTCCCCCCGACTCCTAGACGGAAAGGATGTCTTTTCTGATTGTTTGTTTGTGTTTCCCCTTGAGTCACGTCTTTAAACAGAAAGGAAGTCCAAAGGGTCCTCTGCAGCAGACTCTGAGAAACAGCGGCGTCTTACCCAACCCTCCCAAAAAGGGAACCCGAGTGATGAGTTTCTTAGTCAAGGTGGGTCGGTCCTGTGCTAAAATCAACGAACCCAGCTTGGGATTTTAGAGCAAAAGGGAAGTTTAGAAATCTTAGTCCAACCGTCCCTGTTGAGAGATAGGAAAACCAAGCCCCAGGTTGGCAGCTGACCTGGTCCCGTTCAAGGTCACAGAACTTGACTCGGCCCCCGGGAGACACGAGGCGCCTGTTGCTGGGAAGTCACAGGCCTGCTGCTCTGACTCCATGTGGAAGCTGGGGCGCAGGGCTGTTCCCCCACCTCCTTCAGAAGCACTGGCCGAGATTCTGACTCAGGGTCAGGGGACCCTCTGTCAAGATTGGGGTTTTTTGAAGAGATCTTAACAGTGAGGTTCTTTCCGGAGGCCCGATACCATCGAGGCCACTGTTTTATGAAGAAATCTTGGGCTTCTTTCACAATCTCTGCTCTGAGCTCTTTCTCAGAACAGGTTCGTGTGAATCAAAACGGTGTGGTTGTTAATTAACTGCAGGATAGGTGATTGGTTCCTGTTTTTTTTTTTTTTTTTAAACTCCACTAACAGGGGCCAAAAGGAAGTTCTCTGAGTGCGTTTGGCCACCACGGTGAGCTCGAAGGCTCGGCCAAGGGGTTGGCTGTGCCACTGTTACTTTGCCAGGTTCAGCAGAGAGAATGTGCCAGGGAGGGGCGGGGGGAGATTGGGGGCCCCAAGAAGCCGTCCTCCAGCAGGAGAGCCCCAGACCCTGGGACCCCCCCTTGCTCCCCTTGTGTGTGTCCTGAACCCTGGGGAGCCATTGCTGGGTTGTCACCCCAGCTTCCAATCAGCTGACTTCTGGAGTCTCCTCAGGTTCTGAGCCCAAGGGATCCCCGAAGCTTTCTAAAAGAAGTCTGTTCTCTTGCCTTCCCTCCACCCAGCACTGCTCAGGAGCCCAGTTGTGGCCTTCTGGGTTCCGGGAAAGGCCCAGCATCAAGGGAATTAGATTTTTTCCACCATCTTGCTCCACCAACAGGCCCTCCCCTTCCTGCTCCAGGCAGGCCATCTTCCTCGGGTGTTGAAAGGACCACAAATGAGGATGAGCAGAGCGCTGGGCCAGGAGCCAAGTCCTAGCAGGACAGGAGCGCCGGGCCTGGCTCTGCTGTGGGGCCCTGGACAGGCCACTTGCCTCTCTCCGTCTCGGTGCCCCCTACCCCCGTGACCCGGGAAGACAATCACTGCTTCCCTTGCCCAGGGGGTGGGGGTGTCAGATTCAATGACATTGTGCCCACCAGGGAGCTTTCCACCCTCTCCTGCTGTCCTCCTCGGCTTCTCGGCTCAGTTCCCTCTGCCCTGAACAAGTGCCCCACCGTGGCCTGTTGATCAAGGACATTGAGGCCTGGAGGGGCTAGACATCAGAGGCCAGCTTGGCCTCGCTCTGCCTTGGGATCCTGGGCCAGTCTCTAAGCCTCAGCGCCTCCTCTATAAAATGCTCACAGGTCAGGACTGAGGGAGCTAAGGCTTTGCAGATTGGGAGCAAGAAGTATTTCCTGGTATTCTAGCTCAGTGGATTTGTACATATATTTGTGTTGAAGTATAGTCAGTTCACAGTGTATGTCGGTCTGGTGTGCAGCACAATACTTCAGTCGAACACGAGCATACATACATTCATTTTCATGTTCTTTTTCACCATAAGCTAGTTCAGTGGTTTTAATTCCTACCTCTGGTTCTAGTTGATTTACTAATGAAATACTATGTTCAAAATAAATCGTCTTTGGATAGAAACACAGACCACAGCCCTGGAGGCTCCCCCACCTGCAGAACAAAAGGCCAGGGGAACCCAGCGCCACCCCCTCAGTCCTCTCCTAAAGTGTGGGGGTCTCCTCCTGCTCTGCCCAGGGTCTGGCCTCCTCAGGGGGCTCCAGAAGCCAAGGGTTAGAAGGGGGAAGGAAGGAGGGGATGGGGAGCCCTGCTGGGGGAGGGGGAGGAGGCGGGAGGAAGACTGTCCCTGGGAGATAAGGCCACCGCGGGCTGCTGCACATGCGGGGGAGGACAGCGGGCCAGCCAAGCCTGGTGAGGCCAAAATCTGACAGCTGGACGGGCCCCCAGAGCCTTCAGGTCCCACCCTCTCATTTCAGAGCCCAGAGGGGAGGCGCCTGGAGTGTGTCCGGGCTTGCAGAACGGGCCAGCTTTGGGCCAGGAGTTAAGGGTGCCACCAGACAGGGTGGGACTCGAGCAGTGCCTGCTTTCCAGAAGCCTCCTATCCCCTGGGCACCCCCGCAGCCCAGGCACCACACCAGGCCCTTACACACTGGTTTGTAATAAATAAAGGTCCTTTACTGCCCCAGCAGTCCCGGGAGTTTGGTTGTGTTCCCCAGTTAGCACACCTGGACACTGAGGCCTGTGTCAAGGAGGGCTGGGCCTGGGATTCCCCCGGGCAGGGTAGCCACGGCCCGAACTCCTGATCCCCCAGAGAGGCAGGCAAGTCTGGGTGCAGCTGGGGTGCCATTCTGTTTGCTCTGGGTCAGCTCCCTGGGGAAGGGGTGACTCCCCGGGGCTGCTCCCAAGGCAGAGCTCCAAGCTCTCTAATCTGCCTCCTCCCAGCCTGCTCCTTGGCCGTGACCTTATCGCCCAGGCCCTCGCTGTTGTTCAGAGCTGCGTGATCCCTTTCCCGCGCTTGGCCCTATCGCCCCTGCCGCCCTGCCTGGTGGCTGGGCTGGCCTGGGATGGGGACTCACTCCTCCTCTGAGGCCTGGGGAATGGCACTGGCTGAGTATGTCGTCTGAGCTTCTGCCGGGGTGTGGCGTGGGGGTGGGGAGCAGAGAGGACCACTGCAAGATGTTCTGTCTCCTGGGAGCACTCAAGAGAGCCTCATAATGAGCACAGGGCTGTGAATCATTTGGGGGGCAGGAGAGGGCTCTGCACGGAAGCCAGGAGGACCGGGTGGTCAGGCTGGTCCCGGCTCTGCTACTGCCCCACCCCGACCAGCGGGCTCGGTGAGGCGCCTGGGCCGGCATGCCCGGCACTTCGTCCTGGAGCTTGTGGACATTGGTCTCTTCCTCCTTGTGCACAAAATGGCCTCAGGCCTCCAGTGGGGTCCTCTCGGGCCTTGAGCCCCCCACAACCAACTCCAACTTTCCCCTCCACCCACACTGAGAGAGAAAAAGCCCCTCCTCCACCTCTAGGGACCAGACTCTGGACTGGGGCTGTGGACAAGGCACAGGCCTGCTCTGGCTGCATCAGCTCCCAGCTTGCACAATAACGTGGACTTGGCATTGAGGTGCCCCCTTCTTATTGCAGCCCACCTGCCAGGTCCCTCTCTGATAGGCACTGGGCACATAAAATGCACCGGCCGACACCACCAGCCTGGATGCCCACTGCACGGAAAGGGAATAGGTCCAGAGAGGTTAAGCCTGTGCCCCAAATTGCACAGCAGGTGAGCTGGGATCCTAACCCATGAGCATGTAACCCAAAAACCTGAGCTCAGACCACTTTCCACGGCCTCTGAATGCAAGTCCCACCGGGATGCAGATGTAGCTTGCTGGGTGCAGGGTCCACAGTGTGTCACAAATGGAGATACACCCACCCTTCCTCCTCTGCTCTCAGTGCAACTCAGGGCACACGGTGGGAACAAGCTGACCCTGGGGTTTTCTAGAAGTGGGTGTATTAGTTTCCTAGCAAGAGACTAGTGAGGCACATTAGGCTTTGTAACTGCTGTAACAAAGTGCCACAAACCGGGAGGCTTAACGCAACAGAAAGGTATTCTTTGAATATGAAAACAATTACATGTATGTATATGTATGCCTGAGACACTGTGCTGTACACCAAAAACTGACACATTGTAACTGACTGTACTTCAATTTAAAAAAAGGAAGGAGGGAAGGAAGGGAGGAAGGAAAGAAGGAAGGAAGGAAGGAAGGAAAGAAATGTATTCTTTGAGAATCCTGGAGTCTAGAAATCCAAAATCAAAGTGTCAGCAAAGTCAGCTCCTCCCACGGGTTCTGAGGGAGAGTCTGTTGCAGGCCTCTCCCCCAGCTCCTGCTGGTTGCCTTGTCCCTCCAATCCCTGTCACACTTCCACGTGGCTTTCATCCTGTGTGTTTCTATGACCAAATTTCCCTCTTCTTATGAGGACACTAGTCATATGGGATTTCTCCAAAGCCAGTGTGACCTCATCTTAACTTGATTGCATCTGCAAAGACTGTTTTCAAATAAAGTCACATTCACGGGTTCCAGGTGGACATGAACTTCTGGATGACACTATTCAACCCAGGACAGTGGATTCTGATTTTAGGAGGAGGTGCTAAAATACAGAGGAGTATGGTCCTCTTGTCTCTCCTAACTGTTCTCACCCTCTCGCCCTGCAGGTGTGGGGCACCTGCTGACAATGCCACGCTCCTTCCTGGTCAAGAGCAAGAAGGCTCACAGCTACCACCTGCCCCGCGCCCAGGAGGATGAGCCGCTCTGGCCTTCTGCCCTCGGCCCTGGTGAGTCAGAGCCCAGGCCAGGCTTCTGCTGCGCCCACCGGAACCCCCTGCCCCATGTGACAAAGATGAAGTAACATCCGACCTGATGTAGCCTCTCTTCCAAGTCTTTAAGCAGGAGGAGCTCAGCAAATGCTGGTTAAGTGAATGAGTAAATGCACCCATCTCTCCTGACCCCGTGGGGAGATGAGAGCACGCTGATTGGAGCTGGTCTTCAGTCACTGATGTGTGGCTCCTAATTGGTCAGCAGATCTAGGGCTGACGTCCGATACTCAGAAACTGAGACTGATCCAGGGGCTCTCCTCGGGGGTCTCCTCCTGGACTCCACCCTCTCCCACCATCCTGGGCAGAGCCCCTGAGTGTGAGCAGCAGTGGATGCCCCTCCTTCCCCCGACTCCCTCCAGACTTCCCGGAGCTGCAGCTGCTGATTCTGACGGTCTTGTCTCCCCACAGTGGCCGGGGACCAGGTCCTGAGCAACAACCCTGTCCTCGGCACCCTGTTCCCAAACCAGTGCCTGGACTGGACTGACCTCAAGCAGGAGCCAGAACCAGAGCTGGACCAGAGCTTGACCAGGATGGGCCCGGCCCCAGGTAGCCGCCTGGGCCTCCGGCCATTTCCCAGCGCGTGCGGCCATTCGCCAGCGAGCGCAAAGGGGCTGGAGGGTGGGTGGGCTTGTGGAAGCAGAGCCCCTTGGAGCTGTGGAGTCGGGGGGATCCAGGCTCTCGGGCTTCTGCCTGGATTCCTCCAGGCTGGGGAGCTCGTTCCCAGATGAGCTCTTCCGTGCGGTGGGGCGGAGGAACCAGCCGGCCAGGCTGGTGCACAGGGTGAGGCAGGCACTGCGCAGGGGCTGGGGCACATTTCTGGACCGAAAAGTGAGGCCCCAGACCCTCTCCGACAGTAAACAATCTGAGCTACACACCAAAGGCCTCGGCACGAGGTCACTGTGGGGGTGGCGGGGAACAAGTGCCCTGTTTTTCATGTCACCACCAGCCATCTGTCCCCCTCTCCACAGAGGGCCCTGTTTTGATGTCCCGACCCCAGGATGGGGACTTGCCATCCTCCGACTCACCCCCATTCTACAAGCCCAGCTTCTCCTGGGACACCTTGGCTTCATCCTATGGCCACAGCTACAGGCAGGCCCCCTCCACCATGCAGTCTGCCTTCTTGGAGCGCTCCGTCAGCCTGTACGGCAGCCCTCTGGTGCCCAGCGCCGAGCCGCCCTTGGACTTCAGCCTCCACTACTCCCCGGGCATGGACGCGTACCACTGCGTCAAGTGTAACAAGGTGAGTGAGGGTGTGCAGGTGGGCCGGCCTCCTCTCCTTGGGAGCTGGGAGTGTTCGTAGCGGGGTGCTCCCTGTGCTGTGGCTCTTGAGTCCTCTGGTAGCATCAAGGATTCACAATGTTCATCCTCATCACCATTCATTGAGCCTTGACCATGTGCTCAGACCTTTACTTAGCATTTGATACGCATGAGCCCTGGGAAGTGGAAGAAGGGCTAAAGTTCAGAGAGGTTGAGTCACTTGCCCAAGAGCACACAGCAAGTAGATCTCAGAACCAGAGTTCAAGCCTGGCTCTGGCCAACTGCTGGCTCTTAACCCCCAGGCAGTTCAGCCTCCAGAGATGGCCAGGAGTGGCCTTTCAGATTTCTGCTCCCAGACTCCATACAGGAAAGCCAGCCACAGAGAAGGAAAGAGACCTTCCCAGGACGCACAGCGCAGGCCAGCAGAATCGGTCATCCAGTGCTGCTGCCCCTGTCCGCCCATCTGGCTGAGCTGGGCGTGGAGGTGTGGTCCGGCTGCCTCTGTAGCCCCCGGGGGCCTCACATGTTGTCCCTGCCTGTAGGTGTTCTCCACCCCGCATGGGCTTGAAGTGCACGTCCGCCGCTCCCACAGCGGGACCCGGCCCTTCGCCTGTGACGTCTGCGGCAAAACCTTCGGCCATGCCGTGAGCCTGGAGCAGCACACGCATGTCCACTCCCAGGTGGGGATCTGGCCGAGTCCAGGACCCCCAGTTCCCACTCCTGCTCTCCGCTCCACCCAGGAAGCCTAGGGGACTGTGGCCAGTCTCTCTCCCTGCTCTGAGTGTGACAGATTGGGGGTCCCTGACCCTGCCTCCCCGATCTGGGTCTCTCCACCACCCGCCCTTAACACCTTTCAGTCCCTGATGGACCAAGTTGGCTTGATGTCCAATTGGAAGAGGCCTTTGGCTCGAGGGAGATTTGGGGGGCAGTGAGATATCTGTGATGCTCAGAAACAACCCTGCATCCTGGGCTGTCCGGGCAGGTGTCCGCACCTTTGAGGCCCTCAACTCTTAGAGTCAAGCTTAAACGTTCATCTCGCCCCGCTTAGCCCTGCCTGAGGCTGGAGTCCGTTCTCCAGGCTCCCATTCCGGGAACAGCACCTGAAACTGACCCGAGGTGCCAACACGTGGGTGAAAATAAAAGGTCAGGTGGAGAAGCAGGGAAGGATGGTGAGAACTTCTGTTTGGGAGCGTGAACCACGTGCCAGTGGCCAGCTCAGCTCTCGACCTCCAGTCCTCCCAGCGACCCTCTGAGGTCACAACTCGTCCTGTTCCAATGTACACTTGAGGAAACTGAGACTCAGGGAAGTTAAATGACTTGCTTACGGTCACATGGTGGGCAAGAGGCAGAGGCCGGAATGGGGCCCTAACCAAACCACAACGGAAACCCCCCAGGAGGCCACTCAGGCACCAGGCCTGAGGATGCGGGAATCAGGGTCCCAGGGTCCTGCTCCTCCGGGCTCCATCCTCGAGGCCACCCCAACGGAGTGTCCTGTTCCTCAGGGGATCCCGGCCAGGTCCAGTCCTGCGCCCAGCTTGGCAGTCCCGGGTCGCGAGGCCCCGCCTGTGCCTGACCCCCCGGGGCCTCGTTTCCTCCGGCAGGAGCGCAGCTTCGAGTGCCGAATGTGCGGCAAAGCCTTCAAGCGCTCGTCCACCCTGTCCACCCACCTGCTCATCCACTCGGACACGCGGCCCTACCCCTGCCAGTTCTGCGGCAAGCGCTTCCACCAGAAGTCGGACATGAAGAAGCACACCTACATCCACACTGGTGAGGACACGGGCCCTCGCTCTGCCCCAGCGCCCCTCGCCCGGCCCAGGTCCCTCCCACCCAGGCCCCCGCCAAGCCCACCAGGGCCCAGGCAGAGTCTATGGGCACCCCCACCTTTCACTATTAAAAGGTCCCGGCTTTAGAACGAGGGTGGGGTCAGGTTGCACAGCGGGGGCCACTCCCCTCCAACAGGAGGGCCAAGCCCTCTGTGATACTTTACGTATTAAAAAAATATGGGAAGGAAACAGCAGAATGTCAACACTGATGACCTGTGTTAGACACGAGAGCAGGAGGTGAATTTCCCCTCTGTTCATTCATTCTTCCATTTACTCATTCCTCCACTCATTCGCTCGCTTCCCACTCGGTCATCCGTCCATTCATCCCTCCCTCCGTGCGTTCGTTCCCTCCCCAGCCGTTACCCAGTGCCTCTGTTGTGCCCTGAGCCAGGTGCAGGGCTAACTGATAAACAGGGTGGATCCAGTCCCTGCCCCAGACAGGGAGTAAGTCACTGGAGGGTGATGGTCAGAGTGGTATTTTTCTTGTCTCCCTCTCCTAATTCTTTTCTCAAGTGAATGTGAAATAAAACATAGTAAGTTCTGGAGAACAAATCCAGGGCATTGGGGCAGCTGCGCTGGTCCAGACGGCCCTGACCCCATCCTTGCTGCCCCTCAGGTGAGAAACCACACAAGTGCCAGGTGTGCGGGAAGGCCTTCAGCCAGAGCTCCAACCTCATCACCCACAGCCGGAAGCACACAGGCTTCAAGCCCTTCAGCTGTGAGCTGTGCACCAAAGGCTTCCAGCGCAAGGTGGACCTGCGACGCCATCGCGAGAGCCAGCACAACCTCAAGTGAGGCTGCCCCCACTCCCGGCTCCTGGCCAGCCAGCCCCGAGAGCACGTCACCTGGAGGGAGGCCAGCCTCACACCCCCAGACGCCCAGTCTCCTGGAGGCAGCACTGGACGGGAATCTTCAAGCTTGTTTTGAGACTCACAAAATTGCTGTGTGACCTCGGGCAAGTCAGTTTCCCTCTCTGGACCAACATTTCTCCTGCTGCGAAGTGCAGCAGCCGGGCTGGGCCATTGCTGAGCTAATGTCTGCAGGTTTAACAGTTTGGTGTCTTCCCTGGGGTAGAGCCCTGGAGGCCAGAGTAGCCCCAGGGGGACAGAGGTGCCAAGAACAGACCGGAGCTGGGACCCACAGAGAGATCGCCCCACTCTGCCTGCTGCCCACTGGGATCTGGTCAGCTTGGGTTTCAGCAGGTCTCTTTCTGGCTGCCACGGATGGTCAGAGCTATCTCCTGCCCCAGTGGGAGCCTAGCACCCCTCTGCTTCCACCGACATGCTGGCTGCCCCCCACTTCTGACAAGTACTCAGGCCACTGGGGTTCCAGTTTTGCTGTCAAAACACAGGGCTGGGGAAACCAGCCATTATTGCTGTCAAAGCCTGTTCCTCTCAACTGCTGTAAATAAAAATGAAAACACAGATTTGCTTACCTTTGACCAGCATTTATTAAGTGCTTCCTGGGTGCAAGCTGTGCCGAGGGATGGCGGGGAGCCCTGAGAAACAGAGAAAGCCATGGAGTGGCTCAAAGACAAGTCAGGAGACGGGGACCCAGACCAAACTGCTTAGTGCTGGAACCAAGGCGTGAGACCCTTATGCTGAGACCGGGCAGGGGCAAGGTGGATGCGCTTGGGGGCTGTTTCCGTCTCCTGTGGCTATTATCACAAATGACCACAAGTGTGATGGCTTCGAACAACACACAGTTATCCTCTCACAGTCCTGGAGGTCAGAAATCCCAAGTGAGTGTCATGGGGCTAAAAGTCAAGGTGCTGGCAGGTCTGGCTCCTTCTGGAGGCTCCAGGGCAGAATGTGTTTCCTCACCTTTTGCAGCCTCTCGAGGCCACCTGCCTGCCTCAGCTTGTGGCTCTTCCTTCACCTTAAAAACGCGTCGCTCTGACCTGCTTCCATCCTCCCACCTCATTCTGCTGTGGGCCTCCTTGCCTCCCTCTTGTAAGGACCCTTGTGATGGCACGGAACCCCTGGATCATTCAGGGTAACCTCCCCATCTCAAGGTCCTTAATGAAATCCCCACAGGAGGCAGAATCGTTCCCCCAAAGATGATATCCGCGTCCTAATCCCTGGAACTTGTGCATGTTACACGGCCAGAGGGACTTTGCGGAGGTGATGAAGTTAAGCCCGGGGCTGGCCCCCACTAGCTGTGTGATTGCAGGCTGAGCCTCCTCCTCTGTGAAAGGTAACTGTAGCAGTCCCTCCCCGAGGCCCTGCGTGAACAGCAGTGAGCAGGGCCCAGCACATGGGAAGTGCCGCTAGGCCCTGAACGTATCCTCTAGAAGTCCTGCCCTTCCTGCAAGGCCTGCTCAAAAGCTGCCTCCTCCAGGAAGCCTTCCTAGGTCACTCCAGTTGGAAGGTCTTCTGCTTCTAAAACACTGAGCCCCTTGGGCTCCTGACTCACAGGTCAGGACCCACTGAAGCTGGGCTGGCAGTTATGTGTGGATAAGTTTCCCCTCGGCTAGTAGGAAGTCCCCCTGGGCTCTAGCCCCCGCCCGGCCCCCAGCAATGGGCACTTCTGAATGAGTCACTCTGGGGTACCGAGCTGGGCCCAGGGTTTCCATACATCATCTCTAACACATGCAGCCCTCTGCAAAGGAGGTGTCATCATCCCATCTTACAGAGCAGGTGACCGAGGCTCAGACAGGGTGGCCGTTTCCCCAAGGTCACACAGCGGGCAAGTGCAGAGCTGGGATTAGGATTCTGAGCCAAGTCTTCTTTGAGTCTCTGTTTACCCCTCCTCCCAACGACCCCTGCAGATGTTTCACCCCTGCAGATGTTTCCTCTTGTCCTCGCCTCTGCTGTGAATCTGGAGGGTTCCAAGGCTCCTTGGGGAATAGAAAAGCCATTCACTCCGAGGCTCAGGTTTTGGCTGGGCAGGACCCCAGGGTATACTTCATTCCAGAGCCCTTCCTGTTTACTTTAGCAAGAATTCCCCTAAACAAACCTGTCAGGTGTGCGGAGGGTGGGGTGGAGGCTCAGGATTTGCATACGGGGGTGGTCCGGCCTCCTCAGGCTTTCCTGTCCTGCAGGCCCCACTCTGGAAGTCAGAGGAAGACGGCCTCCGGCCTCCGGCAGGCAGCCAACCTACCAGAGCCATCAGAGCCTGGAGACCACCTGCTCCCACCCCTCCTCCTGTCCCCGGGGACCGTTAGCCCAGAGAGGGGAAGGGACTTGCCCAAAGCCACACAGCAAGGCCAGGCTCACCAGAGCTCCTGAACCTGGAGACACACATACACACGCACACACACACATATACACAGACACAGACACACACACACACACACACACACACAAGGAAGATCTACTTTGCATGCTCCTTGTTTGCTAAACAAAACCACACCAATACCAGGATTTCAGCCACTTCTGCAGCAGGGTGGGGCGAGGAAAAGCAGCCAGACAATGCGTCTTTCTTCTTTCTTCATCAGCTGAGGTTGGGACACCCGGATTTGCTGTGTCGTCGGCCCCTCCACTGAGTGCCCACACGATTGGGAGTGAGGGGCCCCCCCGCAGACTTGGAGCAGGGGACCTGGAGCCCCATTTACACATTGCAGAGAAAGGGGGCCAGTGCGTGGGCAGGTATCAGGGGCGTGAAACCTGCTTCATGGGAAGAGTCAGCGCTGGATGGAGGGGCCCAGCTTGGTGCTCCTCCAGCCCCAGAGGGGAGTCTTCAGGTTGTTGTCCTGAGCAGGGGAGCAACATCGCTGCCCCACCCCCACGCCCACCCCTCACCCAGCTGCAGGAACCCCGGGGCAGTGGCAGGAAGGATGGGCGGCACACGCAGAGCTTCTCCCTGGAGCTCCCTGAAGGTTGGCACCAGCCCACGAGACACTCCCGCCGTTGGGAGAGGAGGTCCCATCAAAGCCGCGTCTCCCTGGGGTGGGGGCGCCGGGGCTGCGCTCATCGCGCTGGGGGTGGGGGCCCGACTGGTAGTGCCGCGGGCGCTCCCTGGCTGCTGTCTGTGATTGGAGCGAGTCCAGTCTCCCCGTGCTCTGCCTCCCAGTCCGTTTCCACAACCTGCTGGTCTGAAAAGCCCAGCATCACAGTCACGGTGTGTAAACAGGGAAGCCCTGTCCAGCCTCTCACCGCACCGGGACTGGGCCAAGGGAGGGAAGGCGGTGGCCCCGGGCACGCATCCTGCTGGCAGCAATGTCCATCACACAGAATCCAGGTTTTCGGAGCCCGAGTCTAGTGGCCTTTCTACCAGGGCTGTGAGAGGATCGCACGACTCCCGGGGACCTTGTTCACGCAGAATACAGCCAGTGGTGGCCCCTGAGTTTGTACAGTGGGATGAGGGGCTGGCGTCCTTCTTGGACTGTGGCCCCCACCCCGCTGCTGAGGGCTGGGAGGGTGTGGATGGATCATGTGAGACGTCAGGACAGCACCCGTAAGCCGACCTGCAGCATCAATTTCCTCCACGATAAATAACAAGACCAATATCTTGATATTAAAACACATGGGTCACATTAGGGAGCAGAACTCAACATCTGAATTAATTTTCAGAACAAAGGTCCCGTCAGTGATGGCAGCTTCAGGTGACACCGCTGGGCCCCTGCCAGCCCCTGAGGGACACAGTGGGAGAGGCCCCACAGCCCTCACAGAGATCACTGGTAAGGATGGAAACGTGTCTCCCAGGGTCAGCCTGGGCACAGTGTGGCTGAGCTGGCTGCAGCCTGTCCCCGTCCACCACTGCCCAGAGCGGACTACACTCAAGGGACAGTGTGGGGAGTGGAAGAATGGAGGGTTCTCAATTATCTGGGAGAACAGGACCTATTCTGAAAGTTCCCTGGAGACCAAATGTGCCGCCTCCCATCACCTGAAGAATCAAGCCTGGCCATGGCCATGACCTAACTTGCCCAGCGCTGGATGGGCTCCCTGGTGTGGGCGCAGGCTAGGCCAGAGGATAAGAGCAGGCCGAAGAAAAGGGCAAGGGCTGTGATGAAGAAGCTGGACTGGCCACACGCCGTGGGGCAGAGCCTGGCACCGGCCGGGGGCAGCAGGAGGGCCCTGAGGCCCAGAGAAGTTTCTCAAGGCGCCCGAGCCACTGGCTGCTCTGAGACTAGGGGAGGACCCCAAGAGACATGGGAGCTGAGGTTTAGAAAGACATCGGTGGTGGGTATGCGGCGTGGTCCGGGGAGCCCAGCGGGAGCCCTGGGGGTGGAGGCAGTTCTGAGTCAGTGTCCGGGTGACTGGCGGCAGCACCGGGCTCCCTGCGATGCTCCGGGCTCCCAGCTGAGGCTGGTCAGGGAGAGGAGGCTCCCCGGGGGTGGAGGGAGGACACACCATCCCGCTTCCCAGGGGTTCTGGACGAGCAGTCAAGTCTTCCCTGTTACTCCACAAGAGCCCTTTAGGGAATTCCGGATGCACTTCTTACCCTGGCACCTCTGCCCACGATGTTCCCTCCGCTGACGCCCTCTTCCCTCCTCTGAACCCTTGAAACCCAGCGCAAGGTCATCCATTTTCAACATGTGCTCATCTCCTGACCCTTCCTTTCACTCCTAGGAATTTGTGTGAAAGAAATAGTCATGGATGGAGGGGGAGGGTACAGCTCAGTGGCGGAGCACGTGCTTAGCATGCACGAGGTCCTGGGTTCAACCCCCTGTACCTCCGTTAAAAAAATTAAAAATGAATAAGTAAACCTAATTATCCCCCCAAAAAATTTGGGAAAAAAGAAGAACTAGTCCTGGATGGGCTGCAGATTAGCTGCACAGACTTCTTCTGAAGCCCGTTGGAAATGGAAAACAAACTGGACCCGTCCTAGAGTCCCACGAGAGGAGACTGGCTGGGCGACCGACGGTGGGTCCAGACGGTGGGCGTCCGAGCAGCCACTAAAAGGAGCCTCCGTGCTTTACAAGGGCTGACCCGGAAGGGGCCTGGGTGCTGCTGCGGTGTGAGAGTGCTCACTGCTCCGTCGTGCGCTGGTTCCCAGAAAACAGCACGACAAGCACCTGCAGATGGTCAGAGAGACAGAGCCAAAGGCAGGCCACCAAACCATCGGTCGCACTTGTTTCTGGGGGCGGGGAGGACGGCTGATTTCACTCTCAACACTATCTGTAAAAGAGACTTGGATTTGTGTGTGTGTGTGTTTTGCTAAAAAAAATTGAAGAGAAAATAGATGTTGCAGAGTAAGGCATCGACATAGGAAGCTGTCCCTGATATCTTCAGTGAAAAAGTGGTTTAAAATCAGTATATACCATATGATTCCATTTAGTTAATTACACACACGGAAGGAAGTCTGGGAGGATAAAGAGCCCCTTATTTTTCAGTGAGTGTGTTGTATTTTTCGGTAATGAGCGTGCGTGATAACGCTATCGCTGGCTTTACAAAAAGACTCCCTCTGCTCAAATAGAACTTCTCTGCCTTGAGGTTTGGCTCTCCACTCCGCCATCCAAGCTGCTAGCCCTCC